GGGTTGTGTACCCGCAAGGGTTCACTAGTGGTACATGGGTCTTAAAATCCTTGGCAAGATAGTTGGTTTCTCCAGCATCAAACTTGAAAGAATCAATCCCGGTATCCTGTTTAAGTTTGTCAAGCCTTGCTATGAACCACTCCACAGCGTCTGGGTTGGTGATGTCAAGCATACCGGCGAATCCATTCCACCACTTGACCACGCCTTCATCCTTCCCTTTTTCTGTCACCCAATACCCTTTCTCTTTACCTTCCTGGTACGCGCTGGTATCCTTGTTGGCAAAGGGTGTCACCCAAAGAGTCACACGAAACCCCTTGTCGTGAAGTTTCCGAACAGTGTCTTTCATGTTGGGAAACTTTTTTGGATCAAAGTCAAGTTCTCCGTACTTTAAGGAGTACCCATCGTCTATTTCTATTTGACTGTTAGAGAATCCATTTGATACGATCTCATCTGCGTATGCGTTTACCACACTGTCACTGATGAAGACTTTGTATCTCGCCCACGTTGACCAGATAGGAGACTTGATCATTCTTTCATCTGGTAAGCCTTCAGGTTTCCCACCACTTGGTCCCATTTCGCGCCAAACCGCATCGTGCACGAGGCGCACGTTGTCATGTGAACAGACTGTGTAGTCTAACCGGTGCAAATTGTGATGGACATTAATGTACTTTGAGTTTGCGTAGTTGCTCTGAAAGCACAACATGCCGTCGCCATTTTCATTCAGACTGACATGCAAAGGAGTGTCATAACTTACTCGAATAGCAACCCCTCGAGATGACAACCAGTACCTGTCCAGAACTGATCCATAGCCTTTCAGATTTTCGTAAATGTCTGTGGATGCGAACATTGCAGTTGATTCACTGGCTTTATCTATGGGCCATACCTGTTCATACTTCTCGGCTGCTCCATACCAGTGAGCCCCTTCCAGAGAATAGCAGTCTCGTAGGGGAATGTCTGCAACAAACGACTTCCACTCAACATCCACACATGAAAACGGAATGCTTTTGGCCTCACTTGTGACGACTGATTTAAATTTGACTTCAGCTATTCCTTTCCAATGATAGCACATGGTGCCTTCTTTCCGCCCAGAGCATTCCTGACCTTTTACACTGGGATTGGGGCTAGCACCTAGAATGCCCCTCAACACTGTATTCCCTCTGAGGTTTTTAATTGATATTTGCCTGGTCGTAGTCCCAACACTGACCACAGTTTCTATGCCGGTCGAAGGACTGACAGAGTAAGCCCGGTTCACGTTGAAGAAAATACTGGAGATAACACGAACAGCTGTCACGCAGAGTAACAGCGCAACCACAATCCGAGTAACGAGTTTCATTGTACTTGTCATTTGGGAAGAGAAACTGCATTTAAATGGTGCAGAGAACCTTTTTCACATCGGAGACATTTGTCCACCTGCCTGTGGTAGTGATGCTGCTGCGATTTCCTCTCAGTGAAGATGTAATGAATATTTTCCCGAATATTGCGTAGCATTAGTTACCATGTTATGCTATACGCAGGACTGTATAGCTACAGTATCTCCGGTTTTCAAGGACAGATCTACAGTAACATTCACAATGGCATTCACCAATCTTTGAAATTATAATAAACCTTTAGGTATGATACTGGCGGAGTCAATGCAACTATCCACGGAACCACTCAACTATTTATTGACTGATTGATCACCTGATAGCAAAGCGCAGTAGAGAGGCAGTACGTGTATCGGCTTCTCTACAGTACTGGTTTGAAAATCTCCTGACGTCAGGTGCTTATGCTTTTGCCACAGCAGCTTTTGGTCAGGAACCAGACTAGACCGCAACATAGGCCTGCATACCACGTGGAACAGTCGATTGTAAAAATACATGTACATATGCCCCGCAGTACAAAATGAAGTCAGACTCGTGAAACTGAAATGCTTCGAAATATTTAACGAAACTAAGAATACGACAGTACGTACGTGCACTGTACAGACGTTTAATAGTACTGTATACGTGGTACAAATTGCCCCCGTGTTTGCTTTTTGGCGACGTGGCCTGGAAAGAAGTTGTGTGGAGTGGTATAGTCCCATTGGGTTTGGTTTAGGAAAAACGATCTGTACCTTCATAATGGTGTTCTAAATTGTTCTGCAGTTGTCTGTTTTTATTTTTGAACTTTGCACCTCTTATTGATAAGCCAGCTGCAGCACTACGCTTGCTGATCATCCATCCTATGGGTACATGTGCATGTATGATAAATATACCCACCAACAGCGCAGGGCCCCTGCCACTGACCGATGGGGGGGGGCTCGACGGCATCCGCCGAGTTGCCACTGTGGGTCGCAGATGGTTGACGAGTGGCAATAAACTTACCCGTTAGTTTGCCTCTCGTGGACCGCTATTGGACCAAAATAATATGGCCTTTCAGTGAAGTTGGTAGCTAGTAGCGCCTCAACAGACGACCAAGTCGCTTTACGCGGTACATTAGTCTCAGTTGTCATTTTAAAAGAAAATCACATTCTTCTATCAGTAACAGATTGGTCACCAGAACAGAGTTTGATCTCTCAACCAAAGGATCTACCCTTTCTCTAATACATGTACAAATTTCAGTGAAAACTAAGCACACTTCGTGAAACCGATCTGAAGCTATTAGACCCAACATCGGCAAATTGTCCGTACTGCCTGTACAACGCCAAAACCACATACAACTGTATACATAATGTTATCTGCTGGAGGAGTGTGCAAGGTTTTATCAATTTCGTACCCACAAAGGCCCTCTAATTCCCGAGCCTTACTATTCCCTTGACGTGTATAATGCGTAGGTCTGCACGGCACGGACGTACACATGGCCCTGCACGGTAGCCATCATTGCATTGACAAAAATTTAGAATATGAGGTAGTGCAAGATGTATGTATGACATATGTCTAGGATGAAGGATGCGCATGTGGTTATTTTAAAAGTAACCAATATCATCAGAAAGTATACAAAACTGGCACTAGGTGACCCTATTCAAAAACAAATATTGAAAAATTGAGAAAAGTTGTCAGAATCGTGTAGCATGTCGGGAGACTCGTAAAGAAAGGTGGTTAATACATTTCAAATATTTCCAAACGTGGATGACAATATCAGAAATACCCAAACGTACACGTAGGTTTGGAAAATTGCGGGTAATACGGGCGTTTACAATAGTGCGCCTCCAAGAGTTTTGCCACGCGTTGGCAAATTACTATGCGCGAAATATGTCGACCCAATACGCGTTTGAAAAGGGTCGACAGATTTTACGCGTTGTGATTGGCCAACACGCCGCAAACTCTTGGAGGCGCACTATTGTGAATCGCCCGGATTTCGGAATATTTCGCAAAAGAGAAGCATTCCTCCCGTTTTGTCACGTGGCTGTTGCAGCTACTGGACTTAAGGTTTTGGCCAATATGCAGCTGGAATCTTTTGGTCTGGGAACCAGTATAGCCTATAAGGCGACCTCTTTAAAGGGCGTAACTGCAAGAGTGTCCATGCTTGCTTTTGCGTGGTGCATGACGCGAGAGGCGTGATGCGGTGCGACTATGGACCCATGGGTCCAACGCACGGAGGTGTGACGCAAAACACAACCCGATGAGAGACGTGACACGTGACTGAAGGGACGGCGTTTTATGGGAGTATACAAAATTTGGCCGATAAAAGGTATACGCAAGAACACAATGCAACGGCACGGGTACCGCGACACCAGCGTGTGCAATTAGGGCCTATACGAGAGAAATGGAGATAATTATGCAGATGGCACGCGACACAATGGTAGTGGCGGAAAGAACCCCGAGTCAAAATTTAATGCATCAACGTACTGTCTTAATCGCCCTAGCAACAACGACTCGCATGTTCGGGAAAAACGAACCAAGAACTGTTCAACGACTGATAAGACCTGATTCCCGGGAAGGCTACGCATGAAACATCTGACTGAATGTTAGTATATGTTACTGATGACTGGAAAATATTCCTTTACAAACATATGGAAAAAGAAGGAGCGGGAAAAAAAACATTTATTGACAACTAAATCAAACAACATTTTACAGTTATAATGATTGATGAAGCCTTCAGGGCAAGTGCAGATTCGGAGCATTTAATGGGGGGGGGCTTATTTTGGAGGGGCAGAAAAATTTGAATGTTTTTCATGTAACTTATCATGGCCTTTCTGAGCGGTGAGGCTACATTTAAATGCTTTTCAATCGGTTTTTGAAGGAAAGGAAGTGCGATAAATATGCCCTTTCCTCGACCACTCCCCCCCCCTAAAAATTGCTCCTTTGGGCGCATGGGGGGAACCCTCCAGCGATTTTAGGACTTGAGTACTTGAGACTTTGCCTAATGCCCTCTGACTCGAGTATCCCAAGGAACTCGTCGAACCCCTACCTCGCGTAGCCGACTCTTCGCCCCCGCCAATGACATTTTTGGGGTATACAAAGCGATGAAGAGACAGAGGCTGGAATGAACCATTTTATTACCGTCTTCAGTGCATTAAATATAATTCATGGTTAATGTCATTTTTAATTTAAGCTCACATGGCCGTCCAGCCAGTCAGGGGCTATTTTACGATCATTGTTTTTCTCAGTCTCATCCCAATTGAAACTGAGTTTAACATTTAATAGCATTTAATAGCATTATAGTTTATACGGAACAAGTTTGGCTAACTAGCATTGTCTAGAGTAAAGTAGAGTACTTCATCAAGAGGAACAGACACATTATAAAGCCAATGTCCGCCTTTGAAACTGTCTCCGTGTGGCATGCGCCTCCATAATCCATCGGCTGGAGGGAGGTACACATCCCTGGAATACA